ACCTGGTGAAGAAAGTCTCGTTTCAAAATTTCTTCGATAGTGCGAAGACTCTATGCGTATCCACACCGAGACTGATCCTTGCTATCAACTCTTTGATCAATGAAACCCGCGAACAAATTAAATGAAAAAACTTATGCTAAAGTTTTTCTCAAAAACGTCAGTCCAAAGTTGCACGACAAGAACTGTTCTTGTCAAGAACGTTTGTCTCTTGAGTTTGTGGCTTCTTAAACCTATTATTTTCACCGTCGCATTCTCATGTCTCTTGGCATATATTTATAACATTTATAATCATTTTCCACTATGTTAAAGGAAAGGTTATATGGGCAGTTACCTTTTGGTTTACGTCTAACACCAAAGTAAAGAGTTAATCCCATTCTCAATTGGTTTGAAGTCCACACGTGCTTCTAGGCACTTTGTAATTTAATCCAACCTCAAATTGGATAACAAATATTTAGTATGAAAAATATTATTCCCATACCATATGGGTGAAGTGCCGTGAAGTCCTCAATGGACTTTTACAATCCAAATTCAAATTGGATTCTACCTAACCAGTCTTCAACAATATTTGTATATGTATCTCTTATACATATAAATATTGATCCTATATATATCACTTATATATATAAATATTTTAATCAAGAGATGTAACTTAATTTTCCATTCCAATCAGAAAAATTTAATTAGTTCACAATATCAAATATCCTTTGTGCTAGCAACGAATATAACAATATTTCATTTGGACTAAAACTTTATTTATTTATGACTAATCAAATTCCCAATTTAATTATCAAATAATAAAGTAATTAATCCTTTAGCAAAGATCAGAACACTCGTTAGTGTGCGACCCCATAGGTTCAATACTAAGCCGGTAGTAAATTGATCACATCAATATACTAATCAAGGGTGGCGTCTAGCAACACTCCTTAACGACCGGATAGCATGAAGTATACAATTTACTCTCAAGAACCAGTAGAAGAATAATGTAGTAATTCCTTCTGTCCTTATAGCTCTGGATCACCCTAGGATATGGTTCAACTGTCAAATCCTAATAGGCGACCAACTATGTGTTCATGTCAAATATAATCGACCATTGAATGAGCTAAGAAACTCATTTCTTCTTTCATTCAATTGCCCTGGCCAAGGTCTTAGTTTGGTCGTTTATAATTCATGACAACATGGAGCTTAAACTCATTACCAAGAGTTGACAGATTCCATCTTGATCAATCACTAATTCTACAAGTATTTAATCGTACCCAATATCCTTTCAACTATCGCCCTAGGGCCATAGGTGTCTGGTATCAAAGCACAATAAATAACTTGTCAATTACTATGACGATCTCAAGTCAAAGGAAATTATTACATCACATTCTTCAAGAGAATATCCTATTGACAGTTTATGGTAATTCTAACCATTAGGAATTATCCAATGAGTCGGTTCAATGACCATATCTCTATATGCATCATCTATCTATGTAATTTAGTTAATGAGATCAACTAATCTTTATCCCATAAAGACGATCACATAAATATTGATCTACCGGATTACTAATGTCCAAATTAATAATCCTACGATCAAGAACAAATTTAGATTAAATTATAAGAAACTTTACTCTCATTATCATGATCTCCATCACAATGTCAAGTCTCAAAATTTAATCAAGGACCTTATCAAATTAATCAAGCAATTAATAACAATGATAAAAGAATATCAAATGCCATATATATTCTATATCAAATAATGTTCACAAAAAATATGTTCAGATCATCAGATATGATATTGGATCTAGGGCATATCTACTATATCCCTAACAAATTTAACATACAATGCCCTAAAATCAGGCATGTCGTAGTATGGCAAAGCTAGCTCATAAGTAGCAAATCTCACATCACTGTTTAAAAATTGCATTGGTTCTGAAATTTCACATTCATAGTACGTAAAGAAATCCTGCAAAGTCATGTACCCTTCCTAAACCCAACATCAAAAATGAAACATCACAAGTCATGCTTTCATGGATATAAGAGGATTATAGAAAAAATCAAAATGAGTAAAAAGTAAGGGCATCGATCATGGATTGAGAGCCAAAAGCCAGCATGTTTTCAAGCACTATAAAGTTAAACTTTATTTATTCTTCTTCTTAGATTCAGACCATACTAATAAACAAGTCATCATATGACGTTTCACTTTAATCATTCACATAAACTACTACCTTATTTTTTCTTGTATAATTGCTTATACAAAGCTCTATTTTAATAATATTAACTTTATTTTAGAAAATAATATATTACATGTAACATAACATACACGTGCAACGCACGTGTCGAGAAACTACTTTAATCAAAAGCATGGAAAGAGACTAGACAATCTAAAATCGTCAATACCACATATAGGTTGTGTACCCACTCCTTACCTTGCGTACACGGCTTTCACATAACAAGATAACACAATTAACTCAATTCCTAAGCGGTGGTTTCCCCCACACAAAGTTAGACAAGACACTTACCTCTATTCGGCCAACTCAATACTCAATTTAGCTTTTCCGTTACCAATTCACCATTGCTCGACTCAATCTAGCCAAGGACGACTTAAATACATCAAACAATGCAAGAGAAAATAATTTTTATTTAAAAAGCTATGATCCTTATACAATTTGTAAAAAGTCAACTCCCTGGGCCCGCACCTCGGAACCCGATAAAATTTATAAAACCCGAACAGTCATTTCGATACGAGTTCAACCATACAAAAATTATCAAGTTCCGATATCAATTCGTCCTTCAAATCATCATTTTATATTTTTGAAAGATTTTACAATTTTTTCCAAATTTTTCTTTAGATCCTCATGAATTTGATGGTAAACCTAAGGTATAATCACAACATATAATTGAAAATTGATTAGAAGCACTTACCCAATGATTTGATATGAAAATCCTCTCTCAAAATCGCCCACATTCGGACCTAGGGTTCAAAATATGATAAAATGAAGCTAAGTCTCGAAATGGGAGTCTTAATACCAGCCTCAGATGTCGCATTTGCGACATACGGATCACAATTGCGATGCTCGCAAATGCAACAAAAGCGCCGCAAAAGCAAAGGTTGACCAACTCTGTTTAGGTCGCAAATGCGAGCTCTGAGTTTTTCGCAAAAGCGACAGTTTGTGTCGCAAATGCGGAGCTGCAATCGCAAATGCGATAATTTAGTTCACAATTGTGAACTCCCCTGCCCCAGCCCATCGTCGCAAAAGCGAGAAAAATCTCGCAAATGCGGACATAGCAAATGCGAGAACAAAGACACCAGCACAGCTGAACCTTCTTCCAACACTCCGAAACGTGTACGAAACTCATCCGAGCCCTTGGGGCTCCATGCCAAACATCCACGCAAGTATGAAAATACAACACGAACTCGCTCGCGCGATCGAAACATGAAAATAACCTCTAGAACCACGAATTGGATGCCAAAACACATGAAAATCACCATGAACTTCAAGAACTTCTAGAATCGCAACAAAGCGCCCGAACCATATCAAATCAACTCCAAATGACACCAAATTATGCAGACAAGTCCCAAACGATATAACGGAGTTGTTCCAACTCCCGGAGTCGCATTCCGATCCTGATATCACCAAAGTCAACTCTCGGTCAAACCTCTCAATCTTCCAAAACTTCAACTTTCCAATTTTCGCGAGAATGCTTCAAATTATGCTACGGACCTCCAAATCCAAAGCCGGGCGTACGCTTAAGTCCAAAATAACTACTCGATCCTATCGGAATCATCGGAACTCCAATCCGAGATCAAATACTCAAAAGTCAAATCTTGGTCAATTCTTTCAATTTCGAGCTTCTTAAATGAGAGTCACTCCTAAAAATCCTTTCCGAACTTCTCAAAAACCCAAACCGATGACGCACGCAAGTCATAATACACTATGTGAAGGTACTCGTGACCTCAAACTGTCGAACCGGACACAATTGCTCAAAACGACTAGTCGGGTCGTTACAGATTAAATAAAAAAATATGGTGAAAATGTAGAAAGATAAGACTTATTCAACTTTGAGGTAAAACATAAAGTGGTAGTAACAATTTTGTTAAAACAATATGTTCAAACAAGACATATTACAACGTGATATGCTTAGTATTCTTTAATATTGACAACAGAATAAAATACAAGTACTAAGATCAAGTGGTTGGGTTGTTACAGATATAAAAAAAAATGTCATCCAGTACGAAATACGAGAAAAAAATTCCATGTCTTTCTTCTTAAATGATATCTAATAATTATGTGTAATTTTTATGTGGAAGGTTTAAGTTTTAACAAAATTTGCATATAATTCAAATAACTCAAATCATAATTTGATATTTATCCGTGCATCATGCAAGTACTAATACTAATATTGTTATTCTACGTTGAATATGAGTTAAAAAAGTTCTATAATTTATAATTATCGTCTAATAACTATCAAACAAATACATAAAGAACGAGAGTTCTCTAGTGAAATTCCACCAATGTCAAATACTCTCAATCACCTAACTGCAATCTTCAATGACGATTCTATTTTTCGCCCTTTGTACATTTGGATCTCTAATATTGTTAAAATTTAAGCATATCGATAGTGTAAAAGTTATTCACATAATCAAATAACTTATTAGGTAAAGAAAAAAGCAATTTGATACATAAAGTATTTCGTATTCACCTAAGGCTCGAGGAAAGCTTATCATAATACAAGCATTACCGGCTATTTCCACAGTTCGAGCTCATAAGCAATAAATACACGGAGATAACTTTACTATTGGTCTAATACTCGCATTCGTTAGGTAAATATTTATAGTTTGGAGCGACAAATTAGTGATTCACATAAAAAATAAACATACATACCCTTGAAATAACATTCAAAGAAAATTGTTGAGGACAAAATCGTAAATATATATATTTGCCCAAAGAAGAGGGTATATTAGTCTTTTTAAAGGGTACGTATACAACCCTAGGGTTTCTCCTCCTCAGCCTCCTACAAAAACCCCATTTACACACAATTCCTAACGCCTCTGTATCATTGAGAGAAAAAGCTAGGGAGAAACAAAGAAAGAGAAAAATGGGAGTTTTTACATTCGTTTGCAAAGGTTCAGGAGATGAATGGAGTGCTAAGCAACTGAAGGGTGATCTAGAAGCTTCTGCTTCTTCCACCTATGATCTTCAGCGCAAGCTTGTTCAAGCTGCTCTTTCCACTGACTCTTCTGGTGGCGTTCAGTCCTCTTTCTCCTATGTTACTCCTTCCTCTGCTGTCTTTCAGGTATTTTCCTTTCTTAACCCTTTTCGTTAAAAGAATCTTGTAAACTTTAATGGGTCTCTTTTTGCTTTTTGTTTTGATGAACCGTTCTGGATCTGGGTTTTTTTGGTTTTATTTTATTTGTATTCCTTTTTGTTCTAAAATTATCTGTGCAATTTTGACTTGAATCACTCGTATTATGTTTATTTTAGGGTAATATTATGATAAATGTAATCTATTGAAAATAATGTATATTCTGGTCCCTAGTGTTAAAAGATGTTAATTTGATATGTGTGTATGTATGCATGTATGTGTGTATGTATGTTTGTGCGCGTGTATGTGTGTAGCGAGTGAACATATAACCAATGGTTGAAAAGGTGGTCCAATAGGAAAAGCTGAATGTTTTTTACTAAATGAATTGAATTCATGAAAATAGTGGGGTGGGCTGTTGTCCATATAGTTTTGAACTGTGTGCCACTGCAGATCTGAGTTAGAACAAGTGGAGTTGAATTATATGAGGAATTCTGAATGGGAGTATGCTTGTTTATCTGTCTGATTTAGCTCAAGAATTCAGTATGTATAGATTTTGTCTTTCTGATTCTCGTGCAGTTTTTATGGTACTAAAGAGTTTCACCTTTTTGATTAGTTGAAGAACAAACCTTGTATGGAAAGAAAAGAAAACTTTTAATGGATATTTGGTTATTTTCCTGTATTATAGATGATACTTGTTGCTATTACTGTGCTTGTAATTGTGAAAATAGCTTGCTTTTAACCCCTCAAACAGAATCTAGTGGAATTTGATGATCTTTGAGGTATTATAATTCATCGGTCAAATACGTTTGTTGATTGATGTAATTCTTGGCATAAATCGGTGCTTTATGTTTCTGGTTGAGTGCTTTTGTGGGGGCTCTGTGATGATGCAATTGAAGGCTTGTTTCTCAAAACATTCGCAGTGGCCGCCTAAATCTTTCGCCTTCGCCGGGCTTGAGAGATAATGCTGCCTTTATCCTTCCTTGGATGTCTGAGATTCCCCACCTACTTCAATTCCAAATCTCTTTCTTTTCCACATTGTGTTCTATCACAAACAACCTCTTCCTTTTTTAGTTGCAATTGTGAAAATAGCTTGCTTTTAAACCCTTATACATCAAAGGAACTATACTGGAATTTGATGATCTGTTTGGTCGCTTGATGCCATCTTGGCCTAATTAGTTACTCTAGTTTGTTCATTGATGATATTCTTGGCTTTGTTTATTGCTACTTTTGGGACTTTTGTTGATTGTATAAGTGCTTTATATTTTTGGTTGAAAGTGCATCAGTGGGGTTTCCTTGATGATACATTTGAAGGCTTGTTTTCTCAAAACATTCGCAGTGGCCGCCTAAATTTTTCGCCTTCGCCAGGCTTGAGAGATAATGCTGCTTTTATCCTTCCTTGGATGTCTGAGATCCCCCCGCCCCTTTTTCAATTTCCAATTCTCTTTCTTTCCCACATTGTGTTCTATCATAAGCAACCTCTTTATTTTATTTTTTTTGCTATAAATATGGTTGTAACTGTGATAATAGCTTGCTTTTAAACCCTTAAACATAAAAGGAACCTGGAATTTGATGATCTGTTTGGTTGCTTGATACCATTCTTGGCATAATTAGTTGCTACTTCTGGGACTTTTGTTGATTGTACAAGTGCTTTATATTTTTGGTTGAGAGTGCATCAGTGGGGGATCCTTGATGATACATTTGAAGGCTTGTTTCTCAAAACATTCGCAGTGACCGCCTAAATCTTTCGCCTTCGCCAGGCTTGAGAGATAATGCTGCTTTTATCCTTCCTTGGATGTCGCCTTCGCCAGGCTTGAGAGATAATGCTGCTTTTATCCTTCCTTGGATGTCTGAGATCCCCCCGCCCCTTTTTCAATTTCCAATTCTCTTTCTTTCCCACATTGTGTTCTATCATAAGCAACCTCTTTATTTTATTTTTTTTGCTATAAATATGGTTGTAACTGTGATAATAGATTGCTTTTAAACCCTTAAACATAAAAGGAACCTGGAATTTGATGATCTGTTTGGTTGCTTGATACCATTCTTGGCATAATTAGTTGCTACTTCTGGGACTTTTGTTGATTGTACAAGTGCTTTATATTTTTGGTTGAGAGTGCATCAGTGGGGGATCCTTGATGATACATTTGAAGGCTTGTTTCTCAAAACATTCGCAGTGACCGCCTAAATCTTTCGCCTTCGCCAGGCTTGAGAGATAATGCTGCTTTTATCCTTCCTTGGATGTCTGAGATCCCCCCGCCCCTTTTTCAATTTCCAATTCTCTTTCTTTCCCATATTGTGTTCTATCATAAGCAACCTCTTTATTTATTTTTTTTTTGCTATAAATATGGTTGTAACTGTGATAATAGCTTGCTTTTAAACCCTTAAACATAAAAGGAACCTGGAATTTGATGATCTGTTTGGTTGCTTGATACCATTCTTGGCATAATTAGTTGCTACTTTTGGGACCTTTGTTGATTGTACAAGTGCTTTATATTTTTGGTTGAGTGCCTCAGTGGGGGATCTGTGATGATACATTTGAAGGCTTGTTTCTCAAAACATTCGCAGTGGCCGCCTAAATCTTTCGCCTTCGCCAGGCTTGAGAGATAATGCTGCTTTTATCCTTCCTTGGATGTCTGAGATCCCCCCTCCCCCCGCCCCTTTTTCAATTTCCAATTCTCTTACTTTTCCACATTGTGTTCTATCACAAGCAACCTTTGTTTGGTTTTCCAGTTTTCTATTTGAATTTTATCATTGCCGTCTATATTTTGAAATGATTTGAGTCGTGCCTATATAGAGAATTCTTATAGCCAACAAACATAGTTAATTGGTTTGATTATTTGGTGTCTTTGGTGATGTGCCATAATACTGGTAAACACTATCATTGTTGATATCGCTAGGAGAAGCCTTTATTTATGTTATCCTCATGTCTTGCATATTATGCAGGTGATCATTGGTGGCGGTGGGGGCGGTGGCTTCATCGGAGGTGGTGCAGCAGCAGCAGCGGCTCCTTCTGGTGGTGCAGCAGCTGCAGAAGCACCTGCAGCTGAGGAGAAGAAGGAAGAGAAAGAAGAGAGTGATGATGATATGGGATTCTCACTCTTTGACTAGATTGGCATTATATAGTAGTACATTTTTCAGTTTCTCTGCATCTTTTTTCAGTGTCACTATGTTGGCCCTAAATTTTTGATAAGCATTGGATTTATCAGTTGCTGTTTAGGTATCTAATGACATTGTGTTCTATGGTTCTTTGACTCACTTTGCTCTCATTTGGCATCTTTTATGAGTCAACGTTAGCTTGTCTCTAAGAGTAGAAACAAAAATAAAGAAGTTTTAATCACACTTTTATTATGTAATCATGGTTAGTTAGTGTTTAATTGCACTTCCATAGGTGACTTAAAACTAACTTTTGAGTAAGGATTGAACACCCAACGATTCTCGACCAAATTTTGAGAGGTTCTACTTAAGTCTGATTGTATAAGCTTGAAGACATACTAATGTAACTAACCTTTTAATTTCAGAAATATCTGAAATCTCCCACTTACTCTAATGTTTGATTATGAAGAATGTTGAATTTAGTGATGTAATCAGATAGTGGAATCTTCTCGATCTAAGGAGTAACATTTATCCTCTATTTTGTTCAATGTGTCTTAGTTTTATTAGGCAAAAAGTTTAATTTTTTTTTAATCTTGTGATCTTAATTCAAGGTGTAAGATAGAAAATTCGGAGAAAGTGTCATTAACGATAAAATAAGAATGTTAAATAAAAAATTTACGAAATATCGGAAGAAACATTCTTTTTGAATGTAAAATGACTTCAAAAGCAACTATTTTTAGCTTAATTGGTGAATAGAAGATTGACATGAGAAGATGATGTTGTTGGTACAGAATGTCATGCAAATTTCTTAACTGTTTTGTTAGGCATTGGCATGAGTAAAAAAGGAGATAAGAGGAAGTCAGAAGAAACAGGATTTGAATAGCCTACCTTACCCCCCCCCCCCCCCCTCCCCCTCCATGCCCATTGTATTTGGATTTGGAAAGAAAAAGAAATATTACAATAACAATAACAATAAGCCCGGTATATTTTTACAGGTGGGATCTGGGGAGAGTAGTGTGTACGCATACCTTACCTTTACCTAACGAAGATAGAGAGACAAAGAAAAAGAAATATTGTTACATTAAATCTTGATAACTAAACGGGTTTTCATGCATTAGCAAGTTTAATATATTCTTTTGCCAGTGTGTTAATGAATTTATGTTACAAAAGATGTAGTAATAAAATTTTATTAGAAATCTCTGTTTATTACAAAAAGGTTCTACCAATAAACAAGATTTAGTTTAACAACATATTTGTGTTTCCCTATTGAGGAGGCATTTCTTTTCTTGTAAGTTAGAAGAAGATTTGTTTGAACGTTTCATAATTAGTTCAAAATTTGGAAAAACTAATATATATATTCTTGTGTTATGACAATTTATACTATACTATAAAAGCACGAAGACCCTTAGTGAAATGTCATTCGTCTTTTTTACCCTTAAAAATATATTTTATATGGGCTAAAATAAAATAAAAAAATTCCTTATATTTAGGAGTTCTAAATCAAAAAGTTTTTCCTAATATAATTTAGTGTTTGATATCTTCTCCTAATAAGAGTATAATATATAAAGACATAAAAAATATAAAAAAGTAGGAGGAAAGTTTTTAGTCGGTTTCCAACAAGGAAACTTCACATTTTTGTGTGATATTTTTGTTCTTTGTCCTTGTTTAATCATAAAAATCAATTTTTCCTTTATTTTCCTTTCATATGATTTGTTTGGTGTTTTTAAAATTTAAATCATAAATATTTTTTTAGAAGCTTAGTTGTTAAAGTCGTTAAAATTTAGAACAACATTAGGTTTTGAAATAGTAATTATTGTTGGAAAAGATAGTAATCATTAATTTGTGATAAGTACAGTAATTTAATTTGCAGGAATACCTAAATTACCTCAATACATATTCCTGTTAAATAGATGGAAAGGACTTTTATTTTTTGGTAAAAAAGAAACTAATATTATTACTAATAAAGTTTGTTACATAATTCAACTTTACAAAACATGAATTGGTTACTAAATTCATCTTTTAGCTAATAGAAATTTTTAATAGTAGGTCACCAATTCTGTCACTAAATAGGATTAGCAATGAATATTTATTATTTATCTACATAATTTATTTATCGCTAATTTCTCTTCTTTTTGTAGTTAGCTTGTCTAGAATATATGGAAACTAGATGGCTATTTTGATACGAAATTAATATAAAAGAACGACGTACATAATAGAACACTAAACTTTTAAAATCATCTTGGTTGTTTTCATGCTTAGATAGGCCATCTGATACTTTTTTGTCTAAGTAGGCTCAATATTTGTTATATTTAAGAGCTTATATTTTAAACATCTTATTTTCAAGGGCTTATATTTTTTATAGTTTTATATACATCGACAGAAGATGTCACATATCGTATTGGGGCGGGACGGATGAAATGGAGACTCGCATCCGATGTTTTGTGTGACAAAAAGGTGCCTCCAAAACTTAAAGGTAAGTTCTACAGAGTGGTAGTCAGACCAACGAGTTGTAAGGGGCTGGGTGTTGGCCAGTCAAGATCGCTCATGCCCAGAAGATGAAGGTAGCAGAGATGAGGATGTTGAGATGGATGTGCGGGCACACCAGATTAGATAGGATCAGAAATGAGGTTATTCGCGACAAGGTGGGTGTGGCCCCTATTGAGGATAAGATGCGGGAAACGTGACTTAGGTGGTTTGGTCATGTGAGGAGGAGGAGCACAGACGCCCCGGTGAGGAGGTGTGAGAGGTTGACATTGGAGGGCCCACGAAGAGGTAGAGGTATGCCAAAGAAGAGGTGGGGAGAGGTGATTAGGCAAGACATGGCAACTTTAGCTGACCGAGGACATGACCCTTGATAGGAAGGTATGGAGGTCGAGGATTAGGGTAGTAGAGTAGGCAGTCTAGCGTGTTCGTAACAGTAGTATTGGCACGCAGTCTCGCTTTCTGTTAGTAGTAGGTTTTTATGAATAACCGTTGTTTCTTTCATTGTTGATCACCTTACTTTTTCGTTGTTTTTATTCTGCTTTTATATGGCTTCTCGGTACTGTCCCTTCTTGTCTGTATGTTCATTAATTTTCATTAATGTGGTGCTTATGTTTTTCTAAGCCGATGTCTATTGGAAACAACCTCTCTATCCTCCAAGGTAGGGATAAGATCGGCATACACACTACCCTCCCCAGATTTCATGGTGTGGGATATTACTGGGTATGTTGTTGTTGTTGTATATACATCGATAGAAGGTACACGCGCATCCGTAGAAAATGTAGCGACCAAGCCAATAGTAATTTGCATAAAATTACTAAAATTTTAATTTTCTTAACTAAGGAATCCAGTGTGTTTGGTAAAAAAAACAGTTTTAGAAAATAATTTTTTGAAATTTTTCTGAAAAATACTGTTTAATGTTTAGTTAAAGAGTGCTTTTTCCAAAAACAGTTTGTGACGTAAATTATAAAGGGATAATTTCACATAAATACAACTCACACACCTGACTTGCAACATAATAGCCTAGATACCACTTTGCAAATTTATAGCCCAAAAATAATAGGCTAATTCCCGAAAGACGGCTTATTTTACACAATCAACTACGGTTATTGCTCCCTCTTTATACAACCAGTTGTTTTCATATACTATTATGTGCAATTGCTGAAGCAATCCAACAGGATAAAAGAAAAATAAAAACTTAGTAAATGAATAGTAGAATCCCTCCAACGCGTACAAATCTTTTTTACACAGCACATACACGAAAAAGAAGAAGAGAAGGAAGTGTCAAACTTCCGTACAGGCCTCTTACACACTAACAATGTATAAACATCCTTATAAACTGAAAAAAAATATATAATTATACAACATTATACACAAATATACATGTTTACCGTAAAAATGGTAACAACATTTAAATTTATAAATGGGATTCTAAAAATACGTGATCTATTCCCGAGCTAGTTTGGAAGGGTGATTAGTGTTAAATATGGAGTAAGACAGTAAAGATCACGCTAGCCAAAATAACAATCGAACCAGTAAGGGTTGTTCCCGGGCTTAGAACAAGCCAGTAGATACCTCGGGGCCAGGCCTCGAGCCTACCTCGGGCCTATCGGAGGTAATCTTATCGAGGGTAGTCGGGAAGGGGATAACAGATAAGTATGTGTATACAAGGCTTTATACCGTCAATCTTGAGCTAAATGGCGAAGAACAAACGAAGAACAATAAAATGCTAGGGCGACCTCAGGGTCGAAGAACACAGTTAACTTAGAAGAAAGAGATAGAGAGAGAGATATTATTGCTTATTGGAGAAGTGGAGCAACATCAGTCCCTTACAAAGTGGGGTGAGTCCCCTTTATATATAGGCGAGGGGACTCGGTAAAATATGCATATATTATTTACAAGAGTAGAAAGATGGGACGGCCTATCGCACGTCATCTCAGTAGGTTACAGATAGACCGGCATTGTTAGGTGTAGCCATGTGCTTTGGAGACATCTCCTCTCACCCTGACCTTGTGCCCTGCTTCCTTTGATTCGGACCTCGACGAGCCCTGAGGCCGAGAACTCGATCGTGGCCTTCCATCCTCGGGGTCTCGAGGAAGGCTTCCGAAATTGTCTTGATAGCGAAAATCAAGTCTTCTGATTTTTACCGATGATGATAGGGTATAATTACGTATTTTAGTCGATTTTACACTCTAATTTACTGCACTTTAATTGAGTTTGAGCTTTAATCGCTAGTATTTTGCACTAACTGTGTGTGTTTATGCCTTGTAGGAGTGATTCCGAGCTATGTAGATATTATGGAATGAATTCAAGTGATTTGGAGCTTTGAAGTCTGAGTAAAAGTTCAAGGAATAAGCCGGGATCGTGTTGGGGGGTCAACGGATGATAGTTAGAGCAAACGAAGACTTCAGTAGGTAGATTGCGCACTGTCTAGTAAAATAGATATAACTTTTTTCTCAGAACTCCATTTTGGCTCCACAATATATGGTTGGAAAGCTAACTCAAAGGGATACAACTTTCATGTTTTACGTTTTTCCAAATTTGGAACGGAATAGGGTGAAAAATGCGCGAACTCGCGAAGTTAGCGCGAAGTCGCGCGTGTTAAGGAGCTGGAGGCAGAATGATGCGCGAAGTCACGCGCGAATTCATGCGCGAGCTCGCGCTAGTCACCCGGGAAAAGTGTCCCTTTTCA